AGTCTGGTTTTGCTTTATTTTTTCTTTTGGTGAGAGGCACCTTCAAGTTACTATCCCCAGCCTGATCCTCATGCTACCCTGGCTCCTGCTGTTGACCTGTGGTGAGTTGGACATCTTGAAGTGGGGTCTGTTATCGGGGATCTTGAAAAGGATAGAGAATTCCATGACTAAGTTTCTGCCTGGCAATGCTTGGGGATTCGGAGGGGATGTTCATGTCATCTCTGTCTCTCTGACTCTTTCTGTCTCTCTCTGTATCTCTATGTTTCTCTGTCTCTTTCTGTGTCTCTGTCTCTGTCTCTCTGTCTCTGTGTGTGTGTCTCTGCTTCTCTCTCTCTCTCTCTCTCTCTCTCTCTCTCTCTCTCTCTCTCACACACACACACACACACACACACACACACACACACAGTGTAGGCATCAATTTGGTCCCTCAGTTCCTTTTTCATCTATCAATACCACTTCCTTTTATTCACACAGTAGAACTTTAGTGTTTATCACCAGCCCCCCTCATTCCACCATAGCTACACTCTGGTAGCTACACTCATAGCTACATTCTGATGTCATGCATCGGAATGGCAGAATTATTCTTCCATCCTTAATCGTTACACTCGGAATGCTTACTCGTGAGGGACTCAGACTCTGCAGCTCATCACCACAACGTGCCTGCGGATGCTCTTTCAACCCTCTCTCCCTACTGTCCTGATACACTTTAGCTGTGTCCAAACAGTGGCTTTTTAAACAAAGGCTCACCTGGCATATTATCATCCCTTGAGGTGGAAACCGAATTACAGATGTTCTTCGTGTACAGCCCTGTTTTTCCACTCATGCATGGGAGCCATTGTTTCAGGTCTTCTCGTTTCTCTTCAAACTTAATCCTTTGTTGGCCCCATTTTATAACTTTAATTAATACTTTATTTTAGAAGTAAAGAACAGCAAAAAAGAAAATTCTCCATTTTTCTATGTCCATGTCAACCAACTACCTGCCTGCCTTCTTCTTGCTCTGAAATACACCTCATCTCAAAGATAGGAGTCTCCATTTGCTCATTCAAGACCCTCCTTCTCCACTCCAATGTGTCTCCATTCCAGCTTGTTCCTGTCCATGCACAGGCGTGCTTGGAGAGTTTCCCCACTCACTCCTGCACTGTTTCTCTTTCTCCTTTCACTCTGCGCTTGCTCCGTTCACTCTATGCTGGGTTCACGCTGCGCTTGACAACTTCACTTTGTCTCACTTCCACGATTCTTTCTTTAAAAAAAAAACAAAAAACAAAAAACAAAAAACAAAAAACAAAAAACAAAAAAACCGTTCAGTTTTAGTTACTCTGAGACCTGCCTTTCTTAAGCTCTTGAGACTTCCCTGCCACCCAGATGTCAATCAAAGCCTGAAACATTTCTATCATTTCAAAGATTCCTTCAAGCTCCCAATCTTGTCCTGTGAGGTCCTCTCTCATTCTTAACCCCGGCAAGTGTTCAGTTGGCTCCTCTTTGGTGAACTCACTTTGATCCACCTTTGTCCCCACTGCTCCTTTGCAGTCATTCCCTCCATCATCTACCACTTCACACCGCCTCACCCAGAAGTCATTTCCGTTTCCTACTCTGTAGCCTCTGGGGGCAGACAGGGTGAATGATCACTCCTACAGGGTGTTTTAACTTGGTTTCCTCTGTTTTCTTTCTGTTTCACATCTGCTTCTCTTCTGCTCCTTTGTTGAGTTGAATCTGTCCCTAACATGTTTGGCAGCTTGGAGTGGATACCTAGACTTCACCTGTAGTTCTTCTCCACCCTTACACACCTTTGTCATTTAATGTGACACGTTAAGTCTAAGCTTTGACTTATTCCTTAAATACTTAATAGCCAGTCGCTACCAGGTGGCTACTAGGTGACTACCAAGAATCCTAAACAGCTTTGTTGATCTCTGTCATTTCACCACTACAACAAACTTACCTGCTTCTTCCACAAACTACCTCAAGAAATGTTAGTACCATTTTTCTGGTTGCTCTGGCCAAAACGTCTCTGTCTCTCTCAATCTCTCTCTCTCTCTCTCTCTCTCTCTCTCTCTCTATCTATCTATCTATCTATCTCTATCTCTATTTATCTATCTCTCATGCTTTCTCCTCTCCTCCCCTCCTTTCCTCTCTCCCCATCCCTCTCCCCCTCTCTCCATTCATATCCCTCTCTTCTGCTTCTCTCTCCTCTCTCTCCAGCCCCTCCCTCCCATCCCTCCCCTTTCCCTCCCCCTCCTTCCCTTCCCCCTCCTCCTCTCTCCCTTCCTCTCCCCCTCTTTCTATCCCTAGCCCTCTCCTGCTTCTCTCTCCTCTCTGTCCTCCCCCTCCCTTCCCTTACTCCCTACCTCCCTCTCCCTTCTTCCCCCTCCCTCCCCC